AATTCGGGGGGCATACCGCTGTCTATGATTGCAAGACGTCACCTAAACCATGAATTGAAACCACATTGATTTTGAGGGGATGCTGCAGGTCTGGGGAATTTGATAGTCTTGTCACTTGTCCCAATATGCCGCTCAATCCCATCCAATTTCCGTCAACTTCCGTGGGTTTCAAAACCATCGGCAAGTATCCCATGTTTTTGACTCATTTCTCCAGTATTCCTCAGCAACTGGAATAAAAGGGCAACGCGTTTTACACAACTCATCAATTCCAATGGGAAATACTGGGCCTCAACGATGCCTTGATGGCATTCGGTCGGTCGCTTGATTTTATGAGCGCATAGCTCGAAACTGAATCCTCAAACTGATAGAATTGAAGCATACAAGTGGCAAACTCTGGAATAGGTAAGCTAAACATTGCCCCCCTTGGTTTCCCCCCAAAATCACCGGAGGGGCTTTGCAGAAGCTTGGGTGGTTCAACGACTTGCCAGCTGGGATGTTGACAGTTTGCTGATCCTGAAATTGGACTTCCCAACTTGTTTTAAGTCCCGCATCATTTTACTTGTATAGAACGCCGCATCGTCCTGACGCGTTTTGCAGCGGGGGCGAGTTCCTGGAGTGCTGTCCACGCGTTTTCAGGGACCATTTTAGGGAAAAGTAGACATACAGTCAGTAGGATTGATTTCTGATTCAGGGGCGAATTTGGACTTGAAAATTGGTGCGATTTATGTATGCATGCGCAAATTCTATGAAGGCTGCACTGTTCTTTTGGCGCATGTATTCTGATTCTATAGATGTCTTTTATTCATGGAAGTGGTGCAGTTCTGATTTGCATCTATATTCGATTGCCATGACTACCTCACTTAATTCCAAATGGGATGTTTCAGTAAGGAAATGCATCGGACTCAGCTCTGACATCGTTTGAATGTATCGTTTTTTTCAACGCGTTGTTCTCAGGGTTCTCGTTGGTCTCGGGTTGTGTGCAGGTGCACCTCCCCACCTCCACGCCGGTGGCGGTCGGAAAGGCGGTCGGGTGAGACCGAGTCGCACGGGTTCAGCGGTAGCTGTGAAGGCCGGTTTTCGTAAGACCCGTCCGGATGGTCAGGGCCAACTGGAAATATGATGATTTCATCGCCGGAAATCCCGAAAAAACCATTGTTTTACTCAGGATGAACGAGTCAAATTGTTCTTTTAATGATCAAATGCTCTCGAAGGCCCTGGCTTCCAGCTCCTCTTCGCTCCTCGCTGCGATGACAGAAGCGCTGGGCTGGGAAGATTCTGCCAAATCAGTTGGTCACGGAGAGGGCACGAAGTGGGTTGCTAATCGTGTTGCAGCCTTTTTTCAATTCAACATACGGATGGATGGAAGCATCATCAGGTTTGGTCTTGCCTTTCTTTGGCCTCTTCATGTTCCCAGTGCTCAGGGAGTTGATGGTGATGAGCGCTCCGAGAGCCCTCGCGAGAGGAGGCGACTCTGCGCAAGAAGGCATGTCACGCTGGCTCAACTCATACCCATTCTGCAGCTCGATTAGTACAACAAGGCACGGCTTCAAGAAAACAAACACGTTAATGATTATGTAGATCAACGAGGGGTTGAACGGTTGGACACCTTGGTTTTCGCAGTTACAGTTCGAGTCGAAGCTATGCATCTTCCCCAAGCTCAAGGCATTTTTTCAGAATCTCAAGTAGATAGGGGATGAAACTGGAACATCCAATCCCATCCCCATCAAAAGGACTGGGGGCTCCTTTCGCTTTCTTTCTTCGACCTTCCAGGCGTCCGAGGCCTCGCGATGGTCCCCCGGAGTGGCGGACGCGTCCTCCGTGCGGGCGCCGAGAGGAGTGGCCGGGTCTGGGGCAGTGGAGCAAGCAGCTACAGTAGTAGGTTGGAGGCCATGGCTACCAGGTTGGAGGCCATTCCTACTAGGTTGGAGGCCATCGCTACTAGGGTGGAGGCATGTGGAGGTGCTTGTTTTTCCGGGGGGGGCGCGTCGTTTGAGGTATCCGGGAGGGTTCTTCCAGCCAATGCCGGAGCACTTAGACTTGGTTGAGAAGAGGGGGTGGCGGAGAAGCAGGTTGAAGAGGACAAGAGGGCGCAAGCCTGGCAGTCTGGAAACCTTTTGTTTTGGAAGGTACACGGTACACCTGAATAACCGCAAAGCTGAAGTCTTCAGTGGCAGACTCACGGATTTGGAGTGCTAACCCCTGTCACTTCATCAAGTTGAGAGGAACACCGGCTGCGCCAACCCGCCGACTCGTCCGAGACTCGTGCCGCCGCTGGCACCTTTTTCAGGTTTGGTCCTCCGGCACCATATGGCTATCATCCAGCCTACGGCTATCCCCCGGGCGAGGAGGCCAGCTCTTCTCCGCTTCGCCCAAACGACGCCCAGTCGGCCGCCGCAAAACGGGTCACCCGCCCAGGCGAGGCTTCCACCTGGCACTTGGGCTGGTGCCAGGCCCAACTTCGGTGAACCGCCCAGCCACTGGCAGGTGCGAACTGGCCGCGGAACTGGCAGTGCTTTTTCACTTCAACAAAAAGGACCCGAAAAAGATCGAAAAAGAATCCAAAGACATCCAAAGACCATGGAAGTCCTCGGATTAGAAGAGCATCTTCCGTTTGGGGACACGACTCGCAAGCCAAAATGCTGCGAAAGATAGAGTTTCAGCGACGTCTAGCGACTGAGCCAGTATGGAAATTGTTCATGTGATTATGGGTCAAAGGCAACCTCGAAGGGTTGTGGCTAAGGAATCCATCCCAGTTGTTGCGAACCATGATGAAACTGTTCATCCACAGCGTAGCAGAAACTGCCGCCTCTCCATTGTTTTCTCGCCCTTGCCAGGGTGCCTCCTTTCGAGAGGAGTCCGAAGATGCAAGGCGAAGCGGCGAAGCCAACCGCCGGCGAAGCCGTGTTCAGAAGGGTCCGTCTTATACGTGCCTGGAGCATGTGGAAAGCATGTAATGTTTACTGAATACATTTCATTAGCCAAAATGTGAACCATTTTGGCTCAAGACTGAGCCACAGGGCCAACCGAAAATTTTGGGTAGCCTGCTAACCCCATTTTGACTTTCTTTTTGGTTGCCCAGCCATGTCAAACCTTTTGATTGGGATCTTTTGGATGGCGCAGAAACAATCCTTCTCCGACACGTTGAGGTGGGCTTGTCTGCAACTTTGGCCAAACATATTCAAGAAAGATCGCGTGATCTTGTCTGAAATTCAATCGGTGCCAGTCAGTGCGCCGCCCCACTTGCCTCTTATCAGTGCTTCCTGCATACAAAGGCATCCAGCTTGACAGTGCAAGAGTTTGATCGCCATCTGCGCGCGGGGTGGCGTGACTGAGTCCAATGTCTCCGACACACCGTGCAAGGAACCCTTCCAGCCGCGCCTCCGGGAAGAAGTCCTGGACGCTCATGCTTCTCTGCTGGTGGTGTGGGCAACTTGGACATCTTGCAGCAGCACCTCTTCCTTTAGTTTGAAGCAAAAAGCTCTCGCTCTCTGGCAAAATGGTCTTCAGGGCCCTGGCTTGCTCGAAGTTACTTGGAGGAAGGCTTTGGACTTTGCTTGAGGTGGCCCCAGCTCTGACCTCTACTGAAAGTCTAGACTAACGTGAGGTTAGTGCCCAAACGGTCTCGCTGACACCAGCAAACGCCGCACCTTTGTCCACCACCACGGGCTGGAGTAGCAGATCCTTCATGCAGGCCAACATTTGAAGATCATGGATCAGCAAAGGGCAATCCCACTGAGTGGCACTGTGTCGGTGCTCCCACCTGACTGGACTGGGTAGGTACTTTTATTGACCCACTGACTGCAACTGGGTAGGTACGACTGGGTAGGTAATCAGTGACAGGGCAGGTAATCCAAACTGACTGGGACTGGGACTGACTGGGACTGGGTAGGTAGTCCAGCAAGAAGTCAACCTTCTCCCGACGCATAGATCCTTCTTCAGCTCGGGGACGCATCAAAGCTGAAGGAAACAAAATTTTAAACTGCTCGACGGCCCCTCAACAAAGTGTCAAGTGGGGTGTCCAAGTCAGTCAGCTTGGCAGCTAAATGCCTGGCCAGGGGAACCAAGTAGTCCAGTGGTAGGGGGGGCCACTCAGCTCAGCATCGGCACGGGCTGGACTGCAGCCATGGAACCGACAACGCCCATAAAAAGTGCTTCCACTCCCTGCCAGCACAATCACCAAAAGCGCTTTTGGCAAGGAACGGGCGTGGCCATGCCCTACGAAGTTCTAAAGAGCTGGGATTGCACCCTACCTCAGACCACCTTCGGACCCTTGATTGGAAGTTTCGGTGGAACAGTGGAACGGTCCCCGGTTGCGACCGTTCCCGCCGAAGAGGTCAAGAAGTGGGAGGCGACGGTCCAGTTCTTAGTGAGATTGAGATGCAGCGACTGCCTATGCCAAGAGTATTATACGACCGCGAAGGGATTTCGAGTGGTTTTCAAAGATCCTAACTTTTTCCGGGTCTAGAAGGTAGAGGGGGAATTTTACAAATGCCATCTGGATGATGTGGCTGAGGACTTGCACCATAAAAAGGTCTGGTTTTGTAGGGGTTTTCTGTCAGAATCCGGATGTTTGCGGTGGGTCTTTCTTCTAAACGTCACACACAGAAGGTCCTTCGCACCGACCAACCACGAACCTCTCCCCCCAAGGCGCCGACGACGGTGAACGCGGCCGAAACGGCCGGTTACGGGCGCCGGGAAAAGACGGAAGCTTCCGGCGGTGTCGGCAGCTCGGTGGCTCGGTGGCGGAGTTGTCCGAGGGCTTTGGATTCAGTGTTTGGCTGATCCAGTGGTGGAAGCTTCGCCCGTTTTCGCAGCTGTGCTCAATGTGAAGAAACATCATAGTAGGATGGGAGGCATGAATTTCAGCATTAATTGGCATTGTTACTTCGGCACTTCTGCTCTTCTACAAAAAATATAGATCCTGTTTCATGTCTTTCATCCAAATCATTCTTCGGTTTCAAAACCACAAGATGCAGGAACAAAGACGGAAGACCTGTTCAGAAGCAGTGCTCCGTGCGGCGCATCGCGCATCGCAGACGCAGCGTCCGAATGCGTGGCGTTTGATGGCGAGACCCTCGGCGCCGTGGGGCGCCGGAGTCGTTGGATGGATCCCGAGGCGAGTTCGGAACGCGGCTTCCAACCGAGTTCGGAACGCGGGTCCAAGCGGCGAAGCGGAACTCTGGCGTTTTTTGATATTTTTTGGTTTGTGGATGTTGTGGTCGAGCATCTGAAACCTCCAAGATCACTTTTTGTGTGGGAAGGAAGATGCAAGATAGAACAGACACTCGTGCAAGACGTACGCAGGATAGGTCGATAGGTCCCATGTAGTCTGAACAACCCTTGGACCCTTGGGATGAGATGGTCTTCCTGTACGACCCCGTGGTTCTTCGGGTTGCAGGATGGTCCTTTTGGTGAGAGTTATTTCTAGGACGACGCTCCGGACCTGAACTCCGGCGATTGGATGGGTGTGTTCTTTCCAACTCCGAAACTGAGATGTGGAAAAGGATGGGCATTGGCAATGTATCCGGGTTCGGCTCATCCACCCTTTGGGTTCGAATTCTTTCTCATTCGAGGACGACTTGTTGAGTACTCATAGGTGTTTGAGCCCTTTCGGACATTTCATAGGAGTCCTATACGAGCTGTGAACATGATATGGAGAAGAAGATGAACACAGGTTCATCCCTAATTCGTTTCTCAGGCTGACAAGGTGGTGGGGCCACACACGAGTGGCACGTGTAACACGGCGGGCGGTTCTTCCAACATGCCAGGACTGGCGGGTTGGCCAGACTGTGCGGCTGGTGAACTTGCAGAATGCAGTGTCATTGAATGGGCTGGCATGTCTGGCACACTTGAGAGCTTGGAACAAGATTGGTCTGGGAGATGTGAACATCATGAGCCCAAACATTTGAGGTCTTCCTTTTCTGGATTTATCTTGCTTTTAGCACACTCTGTACACTCTGAAAAAGCCATTGTTGAATGGTCTAACATCCACAAACATGTGACGCGTTCTCGCATCGCAAGGGTGAGGTCAGTGCTTGAGTATCCCTAAAAATCTAGGAACCAAATGAATAGTGCGTGATTTATATATCCTGCGTCAGTAGGTAGCAAGGTACTAGCTACTTCTTAAGTAGGTGCCTACTTATAATTAAACAAGTAGTGAGGGCGCGGGAGCGGGCAAAAAGAGCATCGGTGCTTTCTTTTTTTTCGCCCACCCTCGACCGTCGACATGCTTTTCGGACGCCAGACGGGCAAGCTGCTGAAGTCTTTGGACACAGGTCACTGGCATGTGGACCTCGGAGAGGCGCTGAAACATGTGGCGCCCATGGGTGGGAACACGTGTGAGTTTGGATGAGGGTCTTCAATAGGATACAGTCTATGGGGTCCGTCTTTTCAACGCTGCTGTGTTTCAAATCATGGAGGGTCGCCTTCCCAAGATTCTTTCGGCTCTGGCCTTGGGTGTGTTGATTCCGAAAGGAGACGAGTCAAGCTGTTTGAGAGCACGATATTGTAGATTCGGGCTTGCTGCTCTTGTTGGTATTGTCTCAGGTTGGTATCAAGGCTTTGCTTCCCAAGAACTTGGTGCGGAGCTCAGATGTGGGCTGCGAAAGGACCACTCAGGACACGCTTCAAACCATCTGGATTGGCAGATTGTTCGGATTTCCAATGACCTTGCAGCCGAACGACGGGTGTGCTCAAATCGGAAGACCGGAACCAGGCGTTCCAACCGGGTTCGCTTCGGGACGGTCTACCCAACCAGGGGCTCTTCCGGATTGAACATGCCCCCAGTGGTGTCACGGACGGAGTTCCGGGCTTTGGATCCGAACGATGAGAACCTGACGGACCGGAGATCGGAGGTCGAATCGCGAAGTGGCCAGGATCGCGAACGCCATGCGAACGCAGTTCCGAAGATGTTTTCCCTCACATCAGGGGTCCGATGTGCAAGAAGCATCGCTAAAATATGCTAAAATCAGATATGTGGATGGAAGAAGCTGAAGCTTAAGATTTGGTTTGACTAGAGGCGAACGCATTCTTTGTTCACATCGGAGGTATTGGCAGAGGTCGACGAGCTCAAGGAGGAGCGACAAGAAGAGCAGGTCACGGAGGAGCAATTTATGCCTGGTCAAATGATCCATCGCATCCTCGGGAAAGGCCGGTCTCGAAGAACAGCTCGATCTTATTCGATCTTTGTTTGGTCAACTGGAGCAGATGCGGTTTCCTTTTTTGGGCTCCAAAGATAGAAACTAACTATTTGTCATTGAGGTACAAAACTTTCAAAAGCAGAGTCTAGATGAGTCTAGGTTGCAGTCCCGGACGTGATATTTTATTTGTTCATTTGGCCTCAAAACTGCCAGCTAAAGAAAGGGATTGATTGGCTTCTGTCCTTCCAATTTGAGACATCAGGAAATCTGACTGCTCGGTAAAAACAAAGCATTGCGATGGCGAAGTTGCTGGTGCATGGTGATTTCTGCTCAGTGCGAATGTCAAAGTGCTGAAATTCAATCAAACGTGGGCCAACGGGGAGTAACTAGTAACTATGACTCTCGTAAGGTGACGGGCATCAACGAGATTACTGTGCTGTCCCTACTATATCTAGGGAAACCACAGCCAAGGGAACGGGCTTGGGATAATCGGCAGGGAAAGAAGACCCTGTTGAGCTTGACTCTAGTCCTACTTTGTGAAGCGACTTAGAACTCAGAAGTTGTAGCACAAGTGGGAGTTTCTCTTTTTCTGCATTATAGTTCGCATTTCAACATTCCTGGAAAGACAGGTGAAGAAGGGCAGACGGGCGCTGGATTGGATGAAGCTGATGATATTGATGTCATCGCTGAGGCTATTCAGGCAGAATACAGGGTGAGTGAGACTGGGGTAGGGGAGGTGAAGCGCATGACTTCTGAACTGTTGGGTGTGTAGGCAGTTTGTGCTGCCGGCCGCAGGAGAAATCGGATGAAGAGATGGCAGAGGAGGCAGCAGAGGAACGGATCTCTGGGAATGAAGAAGAGCTGAACGAGAGGATCCAGATTCAGAAGGCTTTCGCTTTCGATGGGGGCGGCTGGGGGAGTGATTGACAGAACCTGCCTAGCCTTTCCCAGGACAAAAATATATATATAGATACACACACACACACACACTATTCACATCTATGAGTTCCCTTGTCGCTTTGCCTAGGACTTGGAGGAACCGCCTTCGCCCGAAGAGGCCCAACCTCAAACGGCCGATGAAGAGGCCGCTGAAGCGGCCGCTGAAGCGGCCCCTGAAGCGGCCCCTGTGGAGGAGGAGGAGCTGATGAGGATGAGCGTCAAGGAGCTCAAGCAGTTCCTCCGCCTCCGTGCCGTGCGCATCCCTGCCTCCCTGGCCGAGAAGTCTGAGCTTGTGGAGCTGGCCGTGCGCTCCGCGCACCTGCGCGTGCGCAGCGAGGAGGAGCTGAAGAGAATGGAGGAGGCTGAGATCGAGCGAAAGCGGAAGGAAGCGGAAGAGAAGGCAGAAGCCCAGGAAAAGGAGGAGGCAGAAAAGCAGAATCAAAAAGAAAAGGAACGCCTTCAAGAAGACGACCTTTTGAACTCGAAGGCGTTTTCGAAGCATGGCGAATCTAAGCCATGGCAACCTCCAGCTGGAAGCTTCTCCAGCTGGCCGAACAGTTTCCCCAACAGTTTCCCCACACCAACTCCAGGCCCATTTGGATTCTGGCCACCGCCCTTTGGCATGCCCGGCTTTCCAGTGCCCCCAGGTCCAGTACCCATGCCAAAGCGCCCTGGGCCAGTGCCAGGCGTGCCTCCAGCACAGGCAGCCCCACCCCCAAGACCAATGCCAGTGCCCGCAAAGGCTGTGAACAGGCCATGGCCCCCGCGAACAAAGGAAGATGCTTTGAGACTTGGCCGCAATGCACGGTGAAGAATGGGTGACCTCGACCTTTCATGGGACTCTTCTTTTAAGTTCGAACGATGTAATGTGAACAGCATGACAGTGAAACATCATACCTTACGGACATATTGCTGACGCAGCACAATACCAGACAATACCTGCTTATCCAACACCATGGCTGAGTGGCTGGTCCCCCGTTGGAGATGAACCGACTCAGTCGCTCTCGGGACACCCAGCGACACCGCCTGAAGAATCGAGGTGATCCCGATTCACGCAGAGACCAACTGACTTAGCGTTTTGCAGTATTTACACCCCAGGAAAAAAAAGCAAATTGCCAACAGAAACTCTAAGAACCAAGCTTTGTCCTTTTAGTAAGGGATCTTTGGTGCGCTGCGCTCTCCGCTGCGCTTGGCCCGGCTTGCTCAGGTTCTACCAGGGAAATCGGCTCTTTATGGTCAGGACCCGACCGTTTACAGCAGTTGTTCATCACACGAAGCTCTGTTTGGAGTGGCGGAAACCTAGGCGAGTCCCCCGCCTGCACAGGCCCGCACGAACGGACGTCCCTCATTTTGTGACGATCTTTGGATGACCTTGATGACCTCCCCGTGTCTTTCGTGCAACGCTTTTTCTTGAGTTATCACGTGTGTGTCTTCTTTGTGTTCACCATTTTGGATCGAGTATGTAGATGCAAAGCCGTTTAATTAAGTTTTGGGCTGAAATTGAGGAGTTCCATTCAGACACATCCCAAGGTTGGTTGCAGAATTGGTATTCGTCGTTTCCTTCTGTTTGCACGTGTTGTTGATTTGATGACAGTCGTGCTGTGTTGGTATTCGTCTCGATTCGTGCCGTTCCCGGGTGGCCTTGGGTCGACCGACGTGTAGGATCGATGCCCATGTCTTGCAGCATTTGACGCGCTTTTGCAAGACCTACCAGCTGGGTGGTGAGGCGCCCACGGTGAAAAAAGAGAAAAAGCTGGGCATTGGAGATCTGGGTACGCGGGTACGGTTTCTGGTTTTTCTTCCGGGGAGTTCCCCCCAAAAAAGTACATACCATGTCTATGGCATGTGGCATCCTTTTTCCCGAAAGCACCTGCGAAGGGTTTTTCCTTAAGCACTGCTGCCTATTTCATCTTCCTTAATCTCTTTCTCTTACTTCATCTTCCCCACTCTCTCTTCCTTACTCTCTTTCTCTTACTTCATCTTCCCCACTCTCTCTTCCTGACTCTCTTTATCCTACTTCACCTTCCTTACTTCATATTCTTTACTAACTTTCTCCTACTTCACCCTCACAACATCATCATCTAATCATCACCTCATAGGTTATTAATCTCATATCATATCATATTATATCATATCAGGTTATAATATCATATCACATCACATCAATGTCATAACACATCATATCATATCATGTTTTAATATCATATCACATCACATCAATGTCAGATCATATCATCTCATATCATGTGATAAAATAATATCACATCACAACATAACATATGAAGTAGAAGTATCAGATCAACAATATCAAAGTACATCAGAAGTAGATATTGATAGGTAGGTATTGATAAGTGGGTATAGACAGGTAGGTGTAGGTAGGTAGGTGTAGATAGGTAGGTGAAGATAGGTAGGTGAAGATAGGTAGGTGTAGACATCTTCCTTAAGACACCTACCCAACTTCACCTACCCAACTTCTTCTTTATTCTTCTCTTTAGGCGGCGGGGCGGTGCGAGCAGGTCTTACGAAACGCAACCCTCTCGTGGAATCGTGGCCATCGATCGCGCGCGCGTGTGGTGAGACGCGAATCGCGTTTGCCCTCGAGCAACCCTCTGCGGAGATCGTGCGTGTCGAGTGCACGAACGTGTGGTGAAACGTACATTTTGTCTGAGCGCGGCTGGGCGCACCATTATAATTCTGGTCACAAGGATGTCGCCAATGTGCGGTCCGGACCGCATACTCATTGGGAAATGCGATTCCAAGGTCTGTGCCCGGTCTGTGCCCGGATCGTTCCCCCATTATAGTTCTGGTCGCAATGATGTCGTGAATGTCAGCTCTGAACTTTCTACAATGCGCGCTCTGGACGTCATACTCGTTGGGAACCGCGATTTCATGGCTTGTGCTCGGATCGTTTCCCCATTGTAATTCTGGTCACAACGATGTCTCCAATGTGTGCTGTGGACTTCATACTCGTTGGGAAATGCGATTTCATGGTCTGTGCCC